TTAAATTCCTTTTTTTTTTTTTTTTTAATTCCTTCCTCTTTTTCTTTGTAACTCTCTTGGTCCCATTCTCATTCTCATTTTATCTAGATGTCTTCTGGTTTTTAAATCAGTCCAGAATCTATTGACCGTCTTCATCATAACAGACTGAGTCCCTGCTCTCCAGATATTTCCAAAAGTATGTACCACCCCATGAGCGTATTTGGAATCAGTGTATATGGTGTCTTCTTGGCCTTCAAGGAACTTTAAATCCTATTGGACAGCACACAGCTCACAAGTGTGAGCTGACCAACACTGGGCCATCTACCACATTCACATAATGATTGTCTTTTCTCATCAATTACGGCCTAATCATTATGCCTTTTTCCCTCTGTGACTTGGCAAGACCCATCCACAAATATTTGATCTTATCATGGAGTGAGTTTCCCTTAGGTCAGGTATGATCTTAGTTTAAGCAGTGATGTTCTGGAGTCTTGAGGTGCCCCTTTCCCTCCCACAAAGCTGGCTGTGTTCAGACAGCTGCTTGTTGTGAGAACCAAATCATCTCTTTCTAACAGAATAGTTTCATACTGCCAGGCATGGTGGTGTGCACCCGTAATCCCAGCACTCAGGAGACTGAGGCAGCAGGCTCACCTTGAATTTGAGGACAGCTTGGGCTACATAGTGAATCTGAGGTCTGAACTATATAGTGAGGCCCTGTCTCCAAAAAACAAGACAAGCAAACAAGCGAACATGTAAGAGTGGCCCTCCAGCCTGTTCTGGCCTTAGTCTGAGTGATATTTTCTCTATTATTGGAACACCAAATCCCTTCCCTTTTATCCCGAGCTAGTAATTTTTTCCCTAGGGAATCTTGTGGCCTTTGGTGGAAAAGTTAGGGAGGAGCAAGGAGCTCTGGCATCAACCCAAAATATAGCTTCCTCCCACTCAGGTCCCATCCTTACATTTGACGTAGGTTCCTGGAGGAACTGCTAAGAAGGAACCCCTGACCTCCCTGACCTTCATCAAAAGTCACGGAGATCACTTCTCTTTGTTTTTCTATGCTGTATACACTCTTTTAAAATGCCCTGGCTTCCCAACATTTAAAATATGCACTTGCTGTCTTAAGGTTATTTCCCTGGAAATAACTCTTCTTCTCTTTCACTGAGTTTTTCCCTTTCCTTGTCTCCTTTGTGTGGAGTCTTGATCTAATTTTCTCATACCCAGTTTTTCTACAGTTGAGACCACGATTTTCACTTTCCATTTCTCCTCTTTCCAAACACTTTTGAGCTTCTCTTAATACTTCTTCAGCTGGTTTCTCATTCCATCCCTCAACCTTTTATAACTTTTTAGTAATATCAGGCCAGCTCTTGGTCACAAAATTTACCCTCAGGAGTCCTTTGTCTGTATGTTTTGGAGTAGCCTTAGTAAGCCATATTTAAAAAAAAAAGCTTTGTCCCTTTTAGCCTTTTCCCCAACATGTTTGGACCTCCTAGTTTTGCCGCTATCTCTCCTTTTTCTATCCTGGTAAGTCAAAGTTTATCATATGAAATTCTCCCACACCAAAAATGTCTCTTTATACTTTTCAGATTTTCTTCTTTATCCTACTTACGAGTGTCTTTCTATAACGAACCGAGTAGCTGATAAGATTTTAATGTGTCCCTTGTACACTTTCCTCCTTGGCCTCAGAGTGAGTTTGTAAATTGTTACCTTCTAATGAGCGCTGGCTGCCAACACCTCTGAGGGCCTTGAGCAGCATCTTCATCTGAGTTCAAGCAGAGACAAACAGAAGAGCAAGTTAACCCTGTAATTGAGTTCTAGAACTATCCTAGTATCCAAGGACTGTTTTAAGCATAACAACAGCAAAAAAATCAAGTCAAATTGGAATGTAAACATAAATTTATCCATCAGCCCAATCTGGGCCAAAAGATTTGAAGGTTTGAAGTTGGGTCTTTGTGCCAAGCAAAACATCAATGCTTATTTATCCTTGGTACAAGGGTTGTCCCCTCCCCACAAACCGTTACCATTCTCCCCAGAAGACTATCTGGAGAATGTCAGAGGGTGATTCCTTATTTCCCCTTCCTTTGGTTAGCCAGGCCTAGAATTCCCTGTTTCCTGATGGTCTTTGTGGCTAAATTTCCCTGTGCACTCAGCTCCCTGCTGCAGGTTCCTGGCATGCCCTGTGTACTCAGCCATGCTGGGGGTTTCTTGGGTACCCCATGCACTAGCTGCCCCCCTACCCCTCCACAACGGTGGTTTCTTCTGCACATCTCAGTCACACACAATCGAAAATGCCCAGACCACCAAAGCAGTAGTTATAGTTCACTTTTCATACCTTGGCTCATGTATGATTGCCTGGTTGCCTCAGTGCCTGTTTTTTCTCCCTCTGTCTCTGTTTCACTGTCTTCAGAGTGATGGTGCTGGGTGTCTAATGGCTTCTGCCAGGAAATGAAATATATGGTTGAGCAGGCCATGTGAAAGAGAGGTGGGATGTGTCTCCCTGTCCTCCCAGACCCAGTCCTTATGGGTACAGATCTCCTGGGTGAGCCACCAGTTGTGAGGTATGAGTTCATCTTTCCAGGCCCAAGGAATGAACTCAGAAGCAAGAACAGCAGTGAAAGGGATAATCAGCTTTGCAATGGTGGATGTCCGCCACAAAGCAGCTACAGAGAGTAATTTATCCCTTGTCTCACAGGTCCCTTCCTACAGGTCTTCCTCGGCTGAGTACTATGGAGGGTACAACCTTTCCAGGTGCTGCCCAAGTTTTCTTTCTCTCCTTATAGGCAGTTCTTAGGTCCCCCTCCAAATCTGAGTTTGGCTTTCTTTATGATATCGTCTGTTCTTTACTCTAGGACTTTTGAGAAGCAGGTGTTCATGTTTAGAAATTTCATGCGCCCTTATGATTAGTATGTTTCTATTTAGCCATGGCTATCTTGACTATGTTTTCCAACAAAGGCTTTTTCAATAACTTATGTCTCCCTCAAGGTCCATTGGCTGAGACACTTTCTAAATTCATGCACTTTATCAGGCTGTTAGGCAATTTTAACTGCAAGACATTCTCCACTCAGAGTTCACTAATATTTTGTCCTTAAAATGGACAACTTTAAATTTATTTTTCTTACAAGTACCATGGAAAATTTAAAGAATGGAATAAAAGAGGTAAATTAAAAGGGCAAGGGCTGTCCAAATTGCTATAGAATTAACCTAGAGCATGTGGGGATGAGGTTCAGTTTTCAGCTCTGATTAAAAAAAACACTATCTGCATTGGGTGGACAGATGACCTGATCAAGAAGTATACTATAATCTGGTTTTGTATATAACTGCAGTGAAATACATTTTTGTTTTTCTCTGAGTGCTTGTTCAAATGAATGAAACTGTCCCTTTGCGACACATTTTGTGTGTAGTGCCTGATTACTTCTTCTCTCGCAATGGTGCATAGTAATTATAAATGAAATGGTTTGGGAAACGGTGGTAACTAGACTTTAAGAAGGCCACTAGGAGCCTGTGTGGTGGCACTTGCCTGTAATCCCAGTACTCAGGGAAGCAGAGTCACTAGCACCTTATCTAGTAGGGCCTAGGCAAAGTTAGTGATAACTTGTCTCCAGATAGACTAAATTAAAAGGGTCAGGGAGGCACCTCAGTGGGAAAGACCTGGACTCAATCCCCAGAACCACATAAAATAGCAAACAGCTGGCTGCTCCTGGTCTCTGCTTCCCTGCCTCCACACCCTTTGTCAAGTTTGCTCTCACGTTGTCCTAAGGTTGGAGTGTGTGAACAGTGGCATGGAGAATGCAAGGTATGTGGCTTCCAAGATGAATTCAAAAGACACTGCAGCTTCCATCTTGTTCTTGCTCCCTCTTACCTCTGCTGGTCTCTTTGGGGAAGAGCAAGGAAGTGAACCTGCAGGCGCTCATCTCCACTAGGACCCAGGTATGACCTGGAGCCCTGAAGCACCTCAGCAAAGACTGAACAGGACCACCAAGTCAGGGAGCTAATCCTACACCTCAGAAATGAGAGGAAAATATCTGTTGGGGCAGCAGCAGTAATACACATGTTAAAGTAGATTCAACCATCTAGTGAGGATGAGGAGTGGCCTAGCCAATGGGGAGTGAGACATCTGCTCATTTGCATGGTTGCCAAGCAACAATTGTGAGGTCACCAGCATGCGGTCACTGTCCTGGTAAGGTCTTGGCAACACTGCGCAGTTAGTCTCAGATGCCAAGGGACTGTTCAGGTGAGCACATGCATTTCTGCTTTCTCCTCTATATCTGCAAAGGTAAATAAGTCAAACCAAACCTGGCTCTTGACATTTCTTAGTCAACTAACATACTTTTTTTTTTTTTTTTTTTTGTACCGAGAATCAAACTTACAACCTCGCGCTTGCCAGGCAGGCGCTGTGCCGCTGAGCTATATCCCCAGCCCCTCAACTAACATACTTTTAATGTTAATTACTTTTAATGGCAATTTCCAGCGGTTTTGACAATAAGAGTAGATGGCTCCCATTTAGACATCGGGACTCACCCTTTTGGTTTTGAGGCCTCAACATTCATACTGTGTGAAAAATATGTACTATATAGTGTTTTTCTTTTGTTGTGGGGACTACTGAGGACTAATCCTAGAAGCATTCTTTCACTGAACTATGTAGCCAGCCATTTTTATGTTTTACACAGAGGTGGGGTCTCACTATGTGTTGCCCAGGCTGGCCAAGAACTTGCCACCCTCCTGACTCTGCCTCTGGAGTAGCTCAGAGAACATGTGTGGGACCCCATCCCCAGCCTGAGATATTTTTACATAGGGTGGCAAAACTATCAGCTACAAGTACCTTGGCAAGTTTTAGTAAAGATGAAAAGCCTCCTAAGGAGGTAGAGGTAGGAAGATCAGGAGTTCAGGCTCAGCCTGGGCTTCACAGTGAGTCCGGGGGCACTGGACTATGTACCGAGACCCTGTTTGCTAAAATAGATTTTATATTTGAAAATAAAATAGAAATTTAGGCCTTAGGCCTAGTAACCAACGTTTTGCTTACAAAGTTACAAAGTACTTCAACTGAAAATCTCCGGATCCATATTTGAAAACATCTGAACTATGGCTCAGTGCTTCTGCTTCCAGTCAGTGTGAGTTGTGAGTTATGTAATGTAGCCCTAGACCACAGGTAGGTACCATTTATTTTCTTTGGTAAAGTTCCTTTGTCTTAAACTATTTTTTTTTGTTGTTTTGTTTTGTTTTGCTTTGTTTTGTTTTGGGACAGTTTCTTGCTTTGTAGTGCAGGCTGGCCTTGGCCTTACTATGCAGTCGAGGCTGGCCTCAAACTCATAGCCATCCTCTTGCCTCTGCCTCCTGACTGCTAGGATTACAGGTTGTCCTGTTTAAAATTACTTTCAAAGTTCTCCTTCAGCATTCCCTGAGAATGTTTTATGTTCATATCTCATAATCATCAAATCTTCATACCCTAATGATGAATTTTACTTCTGGAATTACTCAAATACCATATATAAGAGTGGGTGATCAATATATGATAGCTTTTTAAGGTGACCCTTAAAATTCAATTATGTTATATAAAAGTACATAGATATATTTTTTCTGAGTACAACCTTCCACCCTCTGTGATAATGTCAGTCCCTAGGACTCCTTCCCTTCCCTCTGCACTGAAGGCAGGTTCGTGTATATCAGTCTAGTGCCCATTCTATTAATTTCCATTCATGTACTCTTTCATCCATTGAAATATGCACAAACCATAATAAAACAGTAACTTTGAGGGTAATACACATAGGATCTGACATTTTACACATTTTAAAACATACAGTTCAGTGGCATTAAGTACATCTATATTAAATTGAGCTTTTAATTTCCTTCAAAACAACCATTTTTCTAAAATAAATAAGATTTAAAATCAGGTTCCTTAAAAAAATTAAAAAAAAATAAAATCAGGTTCCTCAGGTAAGCCAACCACATGCTCATGTTTTCTTTATCATAAATAAATGTGTAACATGCAAATAAAGATGATTTTGTCTCCTTTCAGGTAAAAATTGCTTGGTTTGATGATGATGTGTTGGTGGGCAAACTTCCAGCACTGTATTTAATCATTGTTTAAGATTGCACGCACACATTCTTGTTTGTGAGTTGGTCAGGAATGAATTCTCATTATTTACAGTAGGAAGTGATATTTTTCCTTATAAGCTCAGCCAGCCTACACACGTACGCCTATTTTTCCTTTCTCCTTTGACACTTGATCTTAGCTGAAAAGCCGAGAAGTGATTCTTTCTCCTTTGAAACCCTAAATGTATTGAATCAAACTATCCACTGAACCTTGTCCTTGTTATGAATTAAATTATCAGTCTTCATTTCTGCACATCTCACAAAATCCAATGGCAAGGAAATTCTGAGAGAGACAGACTTTGCTTCCAGTTGGCATTTGGTCCTGAAGTGCTGGCAACCTTTATTTGCCTGGGAAAATAATTCTACTTAATTTTCAAGGCCCCATTTCAAGGGTCACCTCACTTGCAAAACTTTTCCTGAGCACCATTCACTCAGGTTAAGTCCACCCGCTGACCCTTACCATTACTGTCCTCATGTGAAGCATGGCGGCACTGTGGATAACCAAGTAGCTGTAGCTCTGGATTCCCAAAAGAATAGTCTCTGGAAAGTAGGTACAGCACCTCCAATGCATGGCCCATTCTGAGTACCAAATTAATATTTTGGGAATCCATAAAGAACAGCTGGAGTCTGTCGCCTCAAAACAAGCATAATTTTAGATTTGGAGCAGATACTGTACAGCTTCAGACTGCCTTCAAAGGGAACAGTGCTCCTCAGAAGGTAAATATAACCTGCCTTGAAAACTCTCAGGGTTTAATGTCTTCTATTGTTTTGGGGGAGGTGTGTTAATTATTATTATTTGCTCTGATAAATTAAATTAGCCTTTCAGTTCAAGGCAGTCTAAAGCAAGACCTGAAGAATCCAACTGATAAAAGCAGAAGCCAGGATTTATACCTAGTCTGTGTATCAACAGCACCCTCTGAAGGCTCTTCCTACGTGATCTGCAGGGACAAGTCTATCCATGTCCGCTGAGCACTCATAAACAGTGCAAGGAAGGTCCTCTTCTCTCCCTCTCCCCATCTCCCTCCTTTCTTATCCCTTTCTTCTTCCCTCCTTCCCCCCCTTTTTTCCTTTTTCATGGTAAAATATGATAGGTTCTTCTTTGTGGCTATTCTATCTTTTGGCATTTCCATTACTTCTTCTGTGGTCATAGTGATTATGAGTAAAGTCTCCAGGAGGTAAAGGGCTTGGTTCAAGGGTCAACTAAGAGACTCTAACTACTGCTTCATTCTGTTGTGGTTATAGAACATAAAAGGATGGAATGGCAGTGGCAGAGTTAAGCGAGCCCTTGGTTAAGTCTGCATTAATTGATTGCCGTCCTCCTTAATCCATCCAGGTTTGCAGCGGCCACGCTGATGATTGAGTGGGGGAATGGTGCAAATCCGCAGCCTTGCATCCCGGACAACTCTGAGGATGGCACTATTCCCTGCCCTTCACCCAAGTGTTACTCTTTTTGACAGAGGGGGTCTGCTCAGGGGCTTCACTTGCCTTTCCCTACTTGAATAGCTCTGTCCTCTGAGTCAAAGAACCGATGTGTGCTTTTGGGCAGCTCCTAAGTATGACTATTTGAGTCCTGCATTTGGGAACCAGAGACTGATCCGGTGGACTCAATACCTTTCTTGATCCTTAGCAATAAGGGAGCCTGGGAGGTGTTATGGTCCCCATCTGTCTGCACTAACACAGATTCTGTAACCAGTATCCTAGAGATATCAGAGTACTCCCCTTTTCTTGGGGTATGGTTACTGAGTAAGTTAAATGGCCAGAGATCTTCGGGGACAGTATGTTTTTGAGACAGGGTCTCATGTAGCCCAGGTTGGCCTTGAATTCATGGCAATCCTCCTGCCTCAGCTTCCCAAGTTCTGGGATTACAGGTATGCACCATCACGCCTAGCTTGGGAACAAGTTTGGAGAATTACTACAGTGCGTATTTGACATAGATCTGACCTCTCCTTTACTATATGGGTGTTTTGGACCTGCAAACTGGTTTAGTTCAGGGAGACTTGGCAGGTGATTCTTTCTTTCCACTTGACCAGCTGATCTCTGACTACTGTACATCCAGATTTCATATAGCAAGATATACATCCTTCAGTTACCTGTGTATTACACCTTTGTTGACTGCCTGTCTGCCTTCCTGGGGCTCTATTAGCCATCTCTGTGGATCCCCGGAAGTTAGGCACTATGTCTGTGATGCCTATAGCAGCAAGAATCCTCACTTTGCTGAGTAAGAGCTGCCACCTGGCTCCTGTCACTCCAGGATCCTATCATCCTCCTTGCTACAGGAGAGCTCAGTTCTGCAGTGGCACCTTCTAGTCTCAGCCCTGGCCTATGGGTGACAACCACATCCACGTGTTACTTTTTATCAACAAAGCCGGTGCTGGCTTCACTCCACACCCCATCCTCACTCTGTGGTCATGAGAAACAGCATGTCCCAGGCCTTGTCACAGCATACAGTCAGCTGGTAGCACTCCTTTCAGCACATCCGCTTCCCCAAACCCATTGCTCCTTCTGCCGCTGTCAACTAATGAAGTCACGGCCTCTCAGCTTCATAGAACTGGCACTGTTTCTTTTGCCACGTGCTGCAGTGCATCGGAACCAGGGCCCTTGACAAAAGTGCTCCATCTGTAGTATGGGACAGTGCTCTTTTTCCCACCAGCTCTCCTTATCTACTTCCCTCCCTGCCCCCAGCTTTTAGCCTTCTCAGGATCCATTCCCAGGCTTATTCGCAGTTCCTGCTGGTCTACATGAGCTCAGTTCCATAGCTCTTTCAATTTATCACTTCATTCTTCCCCTAGCAGGTCTGATATTTCCTGTCTGGTCATATCGGGACCTGATTTTAGTGCACGACTTGGTAGCCAGGAACCATATGGAGGCAGAGAGAATATAGTCGCATGGAACACCTGCCTCCTCTGAGGTGTGTGCATAGACTTTGCAGAGGCGACCTTATTCTCTAACAAGTGGGAATGGGCAGAAGTCTCGCTAAATTAGATTCTCATTGTTAGCCTTGCATCTCCTCTTCCTTATCAGAGCCTGGACTTTGGTGCTGGAGGCTGATTGTGGCTGAGAATTCAATCTTTCCTAAAGTTGTACTCCTTTTAAAGTAAGCCCTGAGCCTTGTCCTCAGGGCTGCCTGTCCTCTGACTGTAGATGATAACAGAATAGGTAGCATAGAAGGGTCTCTGGCTTTCATATTTTGCTTTATACTAATAATCAGTCACTGGAAACCTGTCATTTTTTCCCCTTTTAAAACATTCCAGGAGGGGCTGGGGATTTAGCTCAGTGGCACAGTGCCTGCCTGGCAAGCACGAGGTCATGAGTTTGATTCCTGGTACCGGAAAAAAACAAAAAACAAAAACAACAACAGGGGCTGGGGATTTAGCTCAGCGGCAAAGCGCCTGCCTGGCAAGCGCAAGGTCATGAGTTTGGTTCCCGGTACTGGAGAAAAACCAAAAAAAAAAAAACAAAAACAAAAACAAAAAAAACCCAACAACAACAACAACAACAACAAAAAATCCCAGGAATGCCTAATTTCACAGTTCTAATTACCTGTTCCCCCTACATTTTCAAACACCAGAGAAACTGAATAGGACACTATACCCCTTTTTACCCACATCTGGTCAGAGTTGCCCTCCAGTGGGAGCATGGCACAATTATACAACTATTAGTATCCCACTTTACTTGGAATCTTATGTTCTGTTCTCCTAAGGACCACTCCGGGTACCCATTGTGTTAAGCCAGGCTTCCTAGAAGTTGGGCTTGAGGCAGAATTAGGAGTTCTTGATATGTTGTGGGATGGTTCAGGAGAGGAAGGTAAAGAGAGGTGAGAGCAAAGAGTTTAGCAAGAGTATCATCTCAGTGGCAAGTTAGGCTCCCTTCAGCTAAGTACAGTGATGGAGACCACTATGAAACAGCCCTGAGCAGGACTTAAATTAACTAATTGGCTTTTAAGTTTATTTGTGAATCTGTCCAAAGCCTACCCACTGGAAGTGGGTAGTGGGCTCATAGTAAGTGAACCTCTGTAAGTCACTGATCCCTACTAAGGCCTGTAAAGGTGAATGAAGCTGGAAAACCTCAAAGGAAAAGACAAGATCACAGCCAAGGACACCTGGATCTAACATCAACTAGATAAAGACTATAGCCTCAGGCATCTCACTCCTGAGTGGATTAATTTAATACCTTATTTGGAGAAGTTCTTGAGTGGTTCTGCTCTTCTTGAGTATTCTCCTCCCTTCTTCAGATAACTAAATAAATGCAGGCCACCCAGAGAAGGTCTTGGTCTTAGTGCCAAGAGAATCTCAAATTCTGTGAGAGGGCTTTGATCCTCCTGGGGCTCTGAAATCATTCCATTTGCCTCTTTTTATTTAGCCTTCACCATACACTTGTCAGGAGATTGCAGACCTGATCAGCCTGCAGTAACTAAGGGATATATGAACCCGCTAGTACAGCCCTCAAGAGAAAGGGCCTGCTCTGAGTTATTAGTAGCCACAACTCACAGCAGGTGAGAGAGGATAGAGACCTCAGCCAGTAGAAAGGATCTGGGCAGGGAGTCACCAGGGCCTTCTGCCAACTCCCTGGTGTGTGGAGGTCCTCAGAAAAAGGAATCCACCCATCTTTGACATCTACTGCTCTCTGATTACCTGGACAGGGTCAAGGGAGCACTTGGCCCATGACAGTGTTGGTAAAGGAGAGAGGCTGAGTGATTTCTGCACATTGCACAGCCTGTAAGAACAGGGACAAAGTGAAATTTCCTCCAAACGTAAGTTACTTTGGATTAAGCTCTGGTCTGGAGGATAGCAGCTTTCTGGCACAAGTTTGCCAACTATCTTGACCAAAGACCCAGCTATTTGAAAGCAGGGATTTCATATTCTTTGTAACTCCTCCATTCTCGTCAGTTTTCTAGTAAGTAGCCCTGAGAAAAGGATCTCTTTGGTTTGCCTTGAGGTCAGGGAGAAGGAAGAGTGGGGAGGCTCAACTTCCCCTCCAAGAGCCTGGGTGGAAATTGCAAGGGATGATTACAGAATTCTTTTTCCTACCCAAGCTGCTCCTGATGAGGTTTGTAAGGGGATGGTGGAAGGGGCAATTTGTCAAGAGACTGTGAAATGTAAAATGAAATCAAACATCAAACTTCTAATGTGATTTCCAAGGGAAGCATTCTGAAATATCACAAGGTTCAGGCAAATATCAAGGATTTGGCTCCAGTTCTTTAGCATTTGGATTTAATTGTCTGAGAGTTGCTCAGAAAAGGGAAGGAAGTTACTGAGTCCATTGGGATGGTTGATGTCTTTTCACAAATCTCTTAATGTTGAAAGGGCTGTGAGGGTGAAATTCCATAAACATTCTTTAATGTTTTTTATTACTTATTTTTGACTTTCTCTTCCTCCTCCTCTACCTTCTCCTCCTCCGTTTTCTGACTTTTGTCCCCATATGCTTCCATAATGTCTGCTGACTGTTGGTTGAGGAGAGTGTGAACTTTATTGGAGTGACAGACTCAAGCTTGCTTCCTGAATGAGAGTCAAGTATTGTCAGTTAAAATCTTAAGTCATTTTTTTTAGTTGATTGAGATGTAACTAACATTTTCTTTTCTGTTTCAACATTAGTATCTCAAACTCTAAGTCTGTACTTTTTGAGTGATAATCTCACCTTAAGTAAAAGTTATAAAACACAAAATTAATGCTTTTTTAAAAGTAAAGTTATTATGAGCAGCAAGTACATGGTAATCTTTGCTGAAGTGGGAAATATTTACATGGGTATTTTAAAGGCAGCTCCAACTTAAGTATAAGTGGAGCGCAGAGATTTTTAAAAGATTAAATGAGATGCTGTCTATAAATCACGCTGTATAAGCTGGTGCTAAAAGCAAAGGCTTTTTACTTCCTTATTTGGAGAATCTCTGTTCATTCATTTGCTGAACACATGTGAAAAGCTTTCTCTACACCAGGTCAGGAGATATAAGAACATAATGGTGATCACCAAGTAAAAGAGCTATCGAGTAAATGCTGAAGCGCTGCCATAGAAATCAGCACAATGGTGCTGGTGAAGCTTTCCGGAGAGGTTTCTAATTCAATCTTAGGGGACAGGAATTGTCAAGGAAAGTTGTCATCTCCAGAGGAGATGAATTCTAAACTGAGGAGAAATGTTAACTGGCCAGAGGGGGAAGGATAGCAAGGAAAGTAGATAAAAAAGAACAGCATGTGCACAATCCTAATTAGGAACTCGGCATGGTGGGAACATAACATGGGAAGTGTTGGAGGTCACTAGGTCAGAGTGCCAAGTCTAAGTGTTAGGACAAGGTGCTGTGCGTGGCCACTGGGGGGCTTCTGAAGGGTTTTCTGCAGTTGGTGGCACACCTGGAGGTGGCTTCCTGAGCAATTTTGGAAGCATTACTAAAAGTACTCTGTTGAGTAGGTAGTCTAGCTAGGAGGAGGCCTGGTGGCTCCTGGTCCCAGGTGGCTCCTGCTGACTAATTTGAGGTATAATTGCTTCATTTTCTAGACTCTGTGGATTGTTGTCTGATCTTTCATAATTTCATTAAACAAGTTAATGTTTGTCCACCAATTAATGCAAGGCCCACCATAGTGCTCAGTTAGCAGCTTTAAAATAGAATTCAGAGAGAAAATTGTCATTAAGTACTTTGGAACATGTATTTGTATTCAAGCTTGATGTCAAAGTTCTATAAGTTTTATTTAAAAAGTTGTAATATATAAATGAACCTCTTCAGAAAAATGTTTGTTTCAGAGATGAGACTTTCTATAATTATAATTTCTTAAGAGTATAATGTATTTCATACAATGTTGTTTTGTACTTTTTTTTTGAGACAGGGTCTTACTACCTACCTAGTCCAGGCTGGCCTTGAACTCCTTATGTAGCTCAGGCTGGCCTCAAACTTGAGATTTTCCTTCCTCAACCTCTTTGGTGCTGGTATCACAGATGTGCACCATTGTGCTCTGTTCTCATTTTGGACTTTAAGCTCAAAAGCAAAGCTAGTTTTTCTTCTCATGTAGTCAAGACTTTTCCCTGAGAAATTATATGTGAACTGACAATTTAGCTACATTGATAATAGTTCCTAGTGTTAAACAGAGAGACACAAGTAGGTCCTTAGTAAATATAAGTGTACATAGAGTTGGAAATCAAAGTGCCTGATTATAAAATGAAATATACTTTCAGGAGGCATGGACTACTTTATTGAGGATTTGGAAATAAAATTATTGATATTAGCATAATTCTAAAAGTCTCAAGAAAATCATTAAAAAGCGGTAGAGGGCCGGGGATGTAGTTCAGTGGTAGAGTGAGACCCTAGGTTTAATCCCTAGTACTGCCAAAAAACATACTGTTGTCTTTACACTTGGACGATTTGTTTGAAAACAATTTAAAATGGCTAGAACACGTTCCAAGATCTAATGGCAGGGTGGGTAGAGTACTTTTTTCACTTTATGCTACAGATGTCTACTTTCTGACTTTTGCAGAGTTGAACAATGACCATCGTTTCCAAAGTTGAATCTCTAGACCCATCAGCCTGTCAGAATCAGTCCGGCCTTTCCGAAGCAGTCTCGCCTGGAGACCCGGATGCAGGCTCTACCAATTGGGATGCTGTGTGTTCATTAAGAGATGTTGCCCATCACACACTTCCCTTAGGACCAGTACCTGGTGCTACTTATTCAAATTCGGCTGTGCCTGATAAGTCAGAGCCATCACCACCAAAGGGTCAAGGTACCATTTTTTGTTTTTTAAATTCACTGCCAGAAACTTTTGTATAAATGCGGTCAGTGGGGTGGTAGTTTCAGAGGCCACATGGGTGGCCAGTAGTGTATGTATGGAAATTATTTTCCTTTAATGAATAAGCATTCATTAGTATGTATGTATGTATCACAACAAGGTACCATTTTTTAGTTACTCAAATATGAATAATTTCTTTTATTTCTAATTTTTTAAAGCATGAACTATCTTGGGGAGAATGGCAATGAACAAGTCTTAAATTTTCAGTTAAGCGGTAGTTATTATGTTGCCTATGTAGATACAGTATCTGTCTTTGGAAAAGAGCAGATAATATAACAGTTATAATATATCAGTTAAATTTGTTAAAATTTATCCAGATAAATTAAACATTGACTGTTTCAGTGGGTGCTTTTAAGACTTAAAGCCCTGAGATTTGAAATGCAAAGAAAGGTAATACTAGAATTAGTTCCTAATGGAAATGTCCAGTTTAGAATAATTTGATCCTGGTATTGTTTTTGGTCTTCTTAATAACTTTGATATTGTGGTGAGGGGAGTGGGTGGTGTGGCTTGTTAAAGGTGTTTTGAGTGTGTGTGAGGGGAAGTTTATATCACAAAACACAGCTTAATTGAATGTTACACATAGAGCTTTAAGGTCCTTTTGCTTCACCATGAAGACTTTCCCACAGGCCATCTTTCTGCAAGGCTCCAGCTCGTGTCATATTCCTGGGACTTCCCTTTCTCCCCTCACTCTGCCTTTTTTGGGGACCCTTGTCTAATTCTCTACAGACTCATTTTTCCTTTCCTAATTTTGTTCTCTAGTCTCTCTTAAGCCAAAGCCTACTTACATAATCACTAATATCTCTTCAAATAGAGAACCATCTATGGGCCATCTTTGCCTTTCACAGCATCAAGAAACTAGCCATCCTTTGAGAAATTAGTGTTGCTACTGGTGATTTTGAACATTTTTAGCACAGTAAGGTGTTTCTTCATCAGCACCAACCATCAGAACTGAAACTGACACCTGGGGAAGCCCAGCTGATGTGATGGTAGGAGTGCAGGTGGCGCTGAATACAAGCATCCAAAGCAAATGTTCAAGGGAACTACCTGGTTTATCTTATATATTCTATTCATTGTGTTAAGTGGGTATAAAAAAGTAATTGTAATGAACTCTCATGAGGTCATTAGCCAGTTTGACATTTATTAACTTTGGGCCAGATCACCTACTATCCCTGTCCCCAGTATTTTAAAAAAGTCCAATATTTCATATATAAATATTTTAGTCTATATATGTGTAGAATTATTTTTAAAGGTTAAAAAATGTCTATGTTAAAAACCTAGTCAGTGTTCAGGTATCTCTGGCTCTCATATAATTTTTTTCACGACTAGCATACTGGGGATTCAACCCAGGAAGTGCTGAGCTAATTTTTTTTTTTTAAATTTTCAGATAGGATCTTATTAAGTTGATAAGATGTCCAGACTGGCCTAAAACGTGTAATCCTCCCACTTCAGCCTCTTGAGTAGCTGGGATTACAGGTGTGCCTTGTCACGCGTGGCTATAAAATTTGTCATTGATATTACCATCCAAATGGAGTCTGCATTTTGCATTTGTGGATATGTCTATGAAATTTCTTTTAATTTATAAACTCCTCACGTTTTGGTTTGTAATTTAATTATTGAAGAAACTAAATCATTTAGCTAAATGAAAAGTTCTCATGTTCTAGGTTCTGTCTTTTTAAATGCCCCTTTGTATCCTGATAATGAGATTTAGAATTTTACTTTAGATCAAGTATTGCTGTTTATTTGGTTTTAGAAGCACACCAAGTTTTGTTTTTAAATCTTTTTTCTAGCCCTAGATGATGGCATTCCTCCACCACAGAAAATTCTTTTTCCCCCAAAGAAGATTTGTCTTACGTGGCAGCAAACTCGCAGAGTTGGAGCTGGGCTTCAGAATGTGGGAAACACCTGTTTTGCCAATGCAGCATTGCAGTGTTTGACATACACACCTCCTCTCGCCAATTACCTGTTATCACGTGAACACTCAAAGACGTGTAAGTGTTATGTACTGTGGTGTTTTATGGACATGGTATATAAACCTATTCATTTTTTCCCTCTGAAATGAGAATAATTAAGTTATGTGATCATTAAGCAGTTGGTTTATTATTTCAGAGTCCAGGATTTAGGATCCAAGTACTTTGTATCTAATTTGACCTGGGTGTGGGTATTTAAAAGGAAACCCATTTTATCATAATTTAGCATTTCTAATCCCCTCCTACTTTTCTACATTGGGTAAAATGTTTTTATGTTTGTTGTGCCAGGGATTGAACTCAGGACCTCCCACATCAGGCAAGTGCCCTACCACTAAGCTACACCTCCAGTTCTTACACTAGTTAAAAACATGAGATAATGTCTGACATAACAGTTGGGAAAAATGAGATTAAGAATCCTGCCCCCCTGGCAGTCCCTGGAAGGCTTGACTCATTTTCAGGCTTATGAGCCCTAGAGAAGAAGAACGCTAACCACTGACCCCAACCTTGTGGAGTTCATACAGGGCTTTCCTTTTAGCATTGGACAGCTCCATCTTTAACCTATAGAGCAGAAAATTAGTTAAAACATATGAAGATGTCTTTAAATAGAAGCCAGCTCAGTGTTGACTAGTGAAATTGAGAATTTAGAATATCCTTTGTTGAGATTTTTGACCTCCTGGATATCCTAATTATCTGTCATCCTTTATAAATGAAGTCTCCCTGGCATTTACTCTGAATTAATGCTCAGATTTGTGTGTGCATCTAGTGCTATTTGTCAATGATTTGGATAAAACAAAAACTTCCTTAGTTTCTTCTTGAATAATTCTTCACTGAATGGAGAATTTAAACTGATTGTTTTACAGTTGTTTTTCCATCCAAACAGCAAAGTAATACTTGTAAAGTATTTGGTAAGTATAGAAAAATTTAAACCAAGAAAAAAATCACCTAGAATCTCTTCACCTAGGGATATTTGCTATGCCTGGGGCTTTTAAATAATAGAATGACTATTCCATTTGCCCTTGATTTTTAAGTCTGTAATTCATTTCCTACAGACGGCTTTCCTGTCACTTTTGTGTTTACTGAAATGTGGGTGTGGTTGAAAGCCCAGTACTGGCACCTAGTCAGCAAGAGAATGTGTACATGTCCTGTATATATTGTGTCTTGTTTTGCTAAATTTATGCTTTTTTCTTCCTCCTCTTCCTTTTCCTCCTCCTGGTTTGTTTGTTTTTTGAGTTGTAAATAACATTTTTTAAAATTTTAATGTCTATGCAGTACTTGGTGGAACCTAGAGATATATTTTTTTATTTTAAAGAGAGTAGTAAAAGAAAAAGAAGAACAATAGCAGCATACCAACATCACAAACAAACAAAACAAAGCAAGCACACTAAAAGTGATGCAGTGTTTCAAAACAAAATGATAGGAATTAACAGTGGTTGTTATATTACATATTGTTGTCCTTAACTACGTTGTTCAGATAATCAGATGTAAAAATGGAAGATTGTTCAAACCATTGAAGAGAATAAAAAATAATTAGATAAAACATTAGAGATAGTACAAAGTTTCACTAGACAAGATGGTGGGAATTCACCAATGGCTGTTCCATTGCATATTGTTGTCTTCAAATCAGTCACTCAGATTACCAGATACAAGTATACTACATTGATCAGAATATAAAAAATTGTAAGCATTAACTGTTCCTTTCAACATACCATCAGACATCAGCAGTACAGGTATCCTAGCTATCTATGTATCTAGGTATCTATGTATCTAACTATCTATATATTTGCCTTCCTTCTGTCTTTCTTTTTCTTCTTTCCCTCATCCCAGTTGTTTCTTCCTTTGAGCAGTTTCTTTCCCTTTCATATCATCTATTGTACGCTTTGCTTTTTACTTACTCTTTCAGGTTCCTACACCAGGGAGACAATATGATGTTGAGACACACGTGTGTCTGATTTATTTCACTTATGAGTATAGCCTCTAGTTGCATCCATTTACTTATAAAAGCCTCGAATTTATCTTTTTTATAGCTGAGTAATACTCCATTGTATAAAAATACCACATCTTTTTTATCCATTCCTCAGCTGGTGGGCATTTGGGCTGTTTCTGAGATTTAGCTATATAACAAATTTTGCTGCTATAAACATGGGTGCAATATATTGCTGTGGTATGATGGTTTTGATTCTTCTGGGAAAACACCCAGAAGGGGAATAGCTGGGTTAAGTGGGACTTCTAATCCTAATTTTGTGAGGAATCTCCAAACTGATTTCCACAGTGGTTTCATCAATGTACACTCCCACCAACAGTGCAGTAGGGTTCCTTTTCCCCCACAGCCTCTCCAGCATTTATTATTCGTTGATTTCTTGCTGATAGCCATTCTTTCTGAGGTGAGATGGGATCTCAGTGTTGTTTTAATTTGCATTTCTTGAATGACTAATGATATTGAATAATTTTACATTTATTTATTTGCCATTTGTATTTCTTCATGTGAGACGTGTGTATTCATCTCACATGCCCGTTTTTGGACTGGGTCTTTGAATTTTGGGGGTCTGATTTTTTTCAATTCTTTATATGTTCTAGATAGAAATCCTTTGTCTGAGGGGCACTTGGCTAAAATTTTTTCCCAATTCATAAGTTTTCTTTTTATTCTGTTGGTGGTTTCTTTTGATGTGCAAAAACTTTTCAATAAGATGAGATCCCAGTTGTTGATTTTTTGAAGTATTTCCTGTGCAGTTTGGTTTTTGTTCATGAACTCTCTACCTACCCCTATGTCTTCAAGATTTTTACCTACTTTCTCTTCCAATAGACTTAGTGTTTCTGTTTTAATATTTAGATCTTTGATCCATTCTGACTTTAGTGCAAGGTGAAAGACATAGGTCTAGTTTTAGTCTTTGGCATGTGAAAAGCCAATTTTTTTCAGCACCATTTATTAAAGAGGCTATCTTTCTTCCAATGAACATGTTTAGCCCCTTTGTCAAAGATAAGGTAGCTGAGTATGTTTGTAGCTGTGTAGCACCTTCTAATCTGTTCCACTGATCTTCAGGTCTATTTTTTTTGCCAGTACCATGATGATTTTATCACAGTAGCTTTGTAGTATAATTTCAGATCAGGAAGTGTGATGATGCCTCTTGCCTTTCCTTCATTTCTGAGGATTGTTTTTGCTATTCCAGGCCTCTTCTGGTTCCAGATGAATTTTAGGAATGTTTTCTCTAGATCTGTGAGGTATGCTAATGGTATTTTAATTGGGGTTGCATTGAATCTGTACAACAATTTTGGGAGTATGACAATTTTCACGATGTTAGTTCTTCCTATCCATAAGCAAGGAATATCTTTCCGTTTTCTGATATCCTCTTTGATCTCTTTTTCCAGAGTACTGTAATTTTCACTGTATAGATCATTTACTTCTTTTGTGAGATTGATTCCTAAGTATTTCATATGTTTAGATGCTATTGTGAAAGGTGTGGTTTCCCTAATTTCTCCTTCAGTCTGTTTGTTGTTTGTGTACAGAAATGCTATTGAGTTTTGAGTGTTCACTTTGTATCCAGCTACACTACTGAATTTGGTTATTAAATCTATAAGCCTTTTGGTGGAGTTTCAGGGGTCTTCTATGTATTGTGTCATCTGTGAATCATGATAATTTCACTTCTTTCTTTCCTATCCTTATTCCTTTTATTTCTCTCTCTTGTCTAATTGCTCTAGCTAATATTTCTGGAACTATATTGAATAGGAGTGGTGACAGTGGACATCCTTGTCTTGCTCCTGATTTTAAAGGGAAAGCTTTCAATTTTTGACCATTTAGTGTAATGTTAGTCATTGATTTATCATAGATGGCTTTGATCATATTGAGATAAAGACCATCTATCTGTATTTTCTGTAGGTTTTTTTTTTTATCAGGAATGAGTGTTGGGCTTTATTGAAGGCTTTTTCTGTATCAATTGAGATGATCATGTGATTTTTGTCTTTGGCTCTATTGATATGGTGTATTATATTAATTGATTTGCGTATATTAAACCATTCCTGCATTCCTGGGATGAATCCCACTTGGTCATGGTGTATAATCTTCTTGATGACTTGTTGTATTCTGTTTGTTAGTATTTTTTTTTTTTTTTTTTTTGGTTTTTCTCCAGTACCGGGAACCAAACTCACGACCTTGCGCTTGCCAGGCAGGCCCTTTTGCCGCTGAGCTAAATCCCCAGCCCCCTGTTTGCTAGTATTTTATTGAGAATTTTTGCATCTATATTCATTAGGGAGATTGGCCTGTTGTTCTCTTTTTTAGTTGTGTCTTTCTCTGGTTTTGGTATCAGGATCATACTTGCCTCCAGGAAGGATTTGGGGAGAATTCCTTCCCTTTCAATTTCATTAAAGAATTCGAGAAGAATTGGTGTTAAATGGTCTCTAAATTTCTTGTAGAATTCAGCTGTGAATCCATCAGGACCTGGGCTTTTCTTCATTGGCAAGTTTTTTTTTTTTATTGTATTCTCAATTTCACTGGCTGATATTGAGTTATTCAGGATTTTTATATCTTCTTCATTCAGGTTTAGTAATTCGTATTTATCAAGAAATCTGTCCATTTCCTGTTTTCCATTCTGTGAGAGTAAGATTTTCAAAGTAGGTATTGATGACCTTCTGAATTTCTACAGGATCTGTAGTGATTTCATCCCTTTTATTCTTTATCGCATGTATTTCATTTTTTTCTTTCCTTTTTCTGATAAGCTTGGCTAAGGGTTTATCTATTTTATTTATTCTTTCAAAGAACCAACTCTTTAATTCATTAATTCTTTATTTTCTAGCCTCCATTGAATTAATTTCTTCCCTGAGCTTTATAATTTCCTGTCCTTTTTGGGCTTTGGGTTTGACTTTTCTTTTTCTAGAAGCTTGAGGTACAGAATAAGATTGTTTATTTGTGCTCATTCTGTTTTCCTGAGGTGGCAATTCACTGCTATAAATTTCCATCTGAGGACTACTTTCATTGCGTCCCACAGGTTGCTGGAAGTTGTATCTACATTTTTGTTTGATTGTAAATAGTG